GATAAAGCAACTTCTTTTCTGTAAATTTTGATTTTGGTTCGAGGGTTGTGGCGTATCAACGCCAAGTCAAGGCTTCATGTTCAGGTAAGTTTTTGCGGTCATCCACTCCTCGTCTTGTTCGGCCAGCAGTGCGCTGACCAGTCTTTCACAACTTTGCGGATTGGGAAACAGCGTCGCAACTCGGGTTCTGCGCTTGAGCTCCTTGTTCAATCGCTCCAGTCCATTGGTGGTGCGCATGCGCACCCGGTGGCCCTCAGGCAAATTGAAGACCGCAAAACCCTCTGGCAAATTGGTCTCGGCCCAAGCGGCCAGCTGAGGGTGGCTGCCTTGCCAATCTTTGAGCGCCACGTTCAGCAGGCGCTGAGCCTCATGCGCGTCGCCAGCGTTGAAGATGGCGCGTATTTGCCGGGCCACCGTTGTGCGCTGGTCGAGCTTGGTGACGTAGCCCTGTGCGTTGTGCTGCAGGTGAAACTGGCAGCGCTGCCACGGCACACCTGGAAACATCGCTTTGCGGGCCGCTTTGAGCCCCGCGTGGTCATCGCTGGCTATGTACTTGACCCCGCGCAATCCGCGCCCAATCAGGCTGTCCAGAAAGGCTCGCCAATGCACCTCGGCTTCGGACAGCGCCACCGACACGCCCAGTACCCGGCGGTGGCCTGTCGTGGTGATGCCAATGGCCACCAGCACCGCACAGTCCACCACTTGATTGGCGTGGCGTACACGCTCGTAGCGGGCATCCAAAATCACATACGGCGTCTCGTCCAGGGGGCGGGTACGCCAGGCCTGCAAGCCCTCATCAAGCAGCGCTGTGCAGCGGCTGATTTGCGTGGATGAGATGCTGATGTCCGGCCCCACCAGTTTCTGCAACACGGTGATGACTTTGCGGGTGGAGACACCCTGCACGTACATCTCAGCGAGTGCCAAATTCATGGCCTGTTCAGAGCGGCTCCCGCGCTCCAGTGCGCTGGGGTAAAAGCCGCCTGAACGCACTTGCGGCACCTCAAAGGTGACCTCGCCCAGGCGGGTCAACACTGTCTTGGATTTGTAGCCGTTGGCGTGGTCCACGCGCTGGGCAGATCGCTCGTAGGGTGTGGCCTGCAGATGCTGGGCACGCTCGATGCGGGAGGCTTCGTTGACCAGGATGCGTAGGGCTTCGCCAGCGCCGTCAAGACCGTTGGCAAGCAAGCAGGCATACGCCTCATGTAATGGGCTGTTGGCATCGTCAAGTTGGGTTCGTTGGGCCATGATGAATAAGTTCTTTCTGTGTCGCTCAGGCCTCGCCAATCAATCGCCGGGGGGGCCTCCGGCGGCCTGGCAGGGGCCTGATATAAAAAAAATCCAAAACCGAATTCTCAAACACCTTCCGCGGAAGCCTGTTTCAATGATTTGGGAAATTACAGAATGAATGTTGCACTACCAAGGCGCTGCGCACGGCCGCGCCCGTGACCC